CCCACCCACACACACAGGGGGAAGAGGTGTGTGTGTGTGTGTGTGCGGGGGAAGGGAGGGAGGGAGGACGGGGGTGAGATGTGGTGATCAACAGTCTGCTGCACGTTCATGCTCCGGCCTCCAGGAGATGAGAACCTGCAGCAGCTGTGTGGAGGCTGGAGATGATGGAGACCTTGACCTCGACCTTTCACCTTGACCTTCCTGACCTTTGGTTTCGTTGTTCTCCACCAGGCGTGGCTCCCCGATCTCTATGTAGAAGGTCTTGTTCTTCTCGTACTCCTCGTCGTCAATTACCTTCACCTTGATGGTTTTACTGAGGACAAGAAGAAGAAGAAGAAGAAGAAGAAGAAGGAGGAAGAAGAAGAAGAAGAGGAAGAGGAAGAAGAAGAAGAAGAAGAAGAAGAGGAAGAAGAGGAAGAGGAGGAGGAGGAGGAGGGAGGAGGAAGAACGGAAAAAAAGACAAGAAAGAAAAGTGAGGAGAGGACAGGAAACTGGAACTCACAGAGGAAACAGAAAAGGAACAGCAGCTGGTTTTACTACTAAGTACCCACAATCCACCTGGCTCTCAGGAAAAATATTGTCCTGATATAGCTAATATATTAGCTAATATATATATATACACATACATATGTATATATATTTTTTCTGTTTTTCTTTTAAAGTTTTTTGTCATGAAAAAAGTTAAGTTTTGGTGCATATTTTCGGTCGTGTTTCTTGAGGTACTGTTGAAGTACTGTTGAAGTATTGTTGAAGTACTGTTGAAGTATTGTTGAAGTATTGTTGAAGTACTGTTGAAGTATTGTTGAAGTATTGTTGAAGTACTGTTGAAGTATTGTTGAAGTATTGTTGAAGTACTGTTGAAGTATTGTTGAAGTATTGTTGAAGTACTTTGGCTGAACTGAAACCTCCAGAAAATCAGCCAATAAGACGACACCGTGTCACTCAGAACACCTGCCGACTGTTGAACACCTAATTACACACAGGACAACCGCAGGTTCGTCTGTCAGCTATGTTACACACACACACACACACACACACACACACACACAAATATCAGGGGTGAACTCATTACCACACGACGGGGATTATGGGACATTTATCAGCGTCTCGTCAGAGCAGATGGTGAACGGTTTTCACCTCCAGCCCTGGAGAAGATCACAACCACACACACACACACACACACACACACACACACACACGTCAATCAGCTAAACTGTCCCCTGCCTCAAGGTGGAGCCCTTGAGCAAACTAATAATAACTGATGTGGTGATAAACTGCAGAGAGTTTCATCAAAAGAATATTTTACTTCAGATTCAGGGTTTTTTTTTCCTGTTCTTGTTCCTGTTCTTGAGCGATTTTTAATTCAAGGCAAAAACTTTTTTTTTTTTTTTTATCCATTTTTGTCTCAGCCTGAAAAAAAAAATAAAAAAATTTCATTCTCACATCAGCTCACTGTGATCATGAATCATCTCTACACAGGGTGGAAATTTTCCTTTTCCCAAGTTCCGGAGTGATGACTCCGTCTGTGAGCTGGCTGCACTCGCCGATGACCAACACACACACACACACACACACACACACACACACACACCGCGGCACCAACATCTCCAGACGCCGCGCTGGTCGGAAAACATCGGCGTTCAGGATCGGTACCACAGTAACCGGTGCCTTTCCTCCTGATCTTTTTCTTTATCGTCTCTCGTCTTTTATCCTCTTCCGTCTCAGTCTACTGACAAACAGGTCAGTTGTGCGGGGCTGCTGTCCCATCGCCGTGGCAACGCAATATTTGGGTAACCAACAGGGGTGGAGAAGATTGTTTCCAGACCAACGGTCAGTGTGTGTGTGTGTGAGAACTGACAAGAAAGTGTGTATGAAAAATAGTTTGGATAGTGAACACACACACACACACACACACACACACATGACTCAGTAGAGACACACACACACACACATGCACACACGACTCAGTAGAAGATATACAGTGTGTGTGTGTGTGTGTGTGTGTGTGTGTGTGTGTGTGCTGTGAAGCTGCACAGACGTCCACACTGTTTGATGTCCATCCAAACATATATGTGCAGTAGAACCAGTCAAGACGCTCCTGGTTCTCCTCCTGGTTCTCTTGGGTCTCTTGGTTCTCTTGGTTCTCCTGGTTCTCCACACACACACACACACTGTATATCTTTTCTTGAGTCGTGTGTGTGTGTGTGTTTTTGAAAGCAGTGCTAGTGTGAATGGTGTCATGTCAGTGTGAACTGAACCTCGGCGGTCGTGAATGTTTCCCACGGTATTCCTGTCCTGGTGAGGACACCGACGCGGGGCCTTCAGGGGGTCAGGGAAACTGCAGCGTCTGAGAAGAGAACCAGGAGAACCAGGAGCGTCTTGACTGGTTCTACTGCACATAGATGTTTGGGTGGACATCAAACAGTGTGGACGTCTGTGCAGGTTCACCGCCCACACACACACACACTCTATATATCCTCTACAGACTTCTGTGTGTGTGTGTGTTGTGACGCTGCACAGACGTCCACACTGTTTGATGTCCATCCAAACATATATGTGCAGTAGACCCAGTCAAGACGCTCCTGGTTCTCTTGTTTCTCCTGGTTCTCCTGATTCTCCTGGTTCTCTTCTCAGACACTGCAGTTTCCCTGATCCCCTGAACGCACCGCGTCGGTGTCCTCACCAGGACAGGAATACCGTGGGAAACATTCACGACCGCCGAGGTTCAGTTCACACTGACATGACACCATTCACACTAGCACTGCTTTCAAAAACACACACACACACATCTGTGTTTCCACAGAGACGTCCTCCATCTGACTTTGCTGAGAAGTATTAAAAACAGTCTGTGCAGCAGAGCAGCTGTGAACACCCCCCC